GCTGCTACTGATCGTCACGTTAAACTTTACAGACTCAAGAATCATGAAGCATGGAGCAAAAGTCTCCATCAGGTTCTGGACTGCACAGGTTTTTGGTCAGACATACCCCCTATTGGAGCATGCACAGTTAGAAAAGTGGGTGCAAAATCTTTCTTTTTGTTTGTATGTTAGAAAACATGTTAATTACATTCAAGTATTAACTAATAAATAGTTTGTTTTGCCATGAATCAGAATCAGTCTAATTCTCCTGATTTGTTACTTGCTGAGCAGAAAGGCTTTGAGCGCTGCTAAACTCACGGCTCATTAAAACACCAGACCCACAGTCTCGGTAAATCCTGGCTCTTGCCTCGAGACAGCTTTTTGTGCATTTGTTGTTGAGAAGAAGTGGTGGAAACACGAATGCACCCAAATCCCGGGGAGCTGTCACTCTCCATTAGCTGCCGGGCGCTTTAGCCGGTCAGCAATGGCCCACAGGAGAAAGAGGAGGGACGCAGCCAAACGTAATCACTGATTTTAACACCGCTGTGCCCCTTGGAGCCTTCTCCTCCCACCACCAGGACCCCGCGGCACAGAGACGGTTCACAAAGACGCCTTGTTACAGTGGACTGGAGGGGGGCTGGAAATGCGCCTGTCGCTCCCTCCTCGCTGGACTCCGAGCCCCACACAGGGGTCTATTTCCTATCAACATTTCCTAAGGAATACTGCAAAAAAAAGTCTGAATGTAATGTATAAGTGAATGGATGTCCCGCTTCCAATATGGATGTGGAAAGAGAATGGAAAAAATCTCTGAACTCTGAACTTTGTAAAGCGCTTTGGTTGATCTTGGTCAATAACAAATGTGCTCTATAAATAAACATTACATTACATACAACAGTGACCCTGAAACCATAAGTGATTCATGTCAGTTTGAGTTTTTTCTAGAATCCAAGACACAATTACACAGAGCATCACCATTTCTGCACTGATTGTTACAATACGTCACCTCTCTTCACTTCAATTCAATTCAATTTAATTTTGTACTGCAGTAGCCTAAATCACAGCAGTATGTTATCTCGGAGGACTTTACAGATCACCGACTCACCAACACAGAGTCGAGGACAAGTCTAGGCCAGTGGGGGCGGGTCCCCTACCCCGGGTCTACCCCGGCCGATGGGGGTAGACCCGGAATAAGAATTAGCCAATGCTAACGTATAGCATCTTCTTTCCTATCGAAAACATCTTTACAGGATGATTGAAAAGTCGGCTCTTGGTCCAAAGCTGCATTCCAAATGTGTGTCAATGCTGAGGGGAGTTTATGTTTTTGGACTAGTCTAGTTTAGTCGCTGTGGAATTTTCACATTTTCACATTTTCCAGCCCCCATTTCGAAACTGCCCATTGACGGCGAAAGTGGTGGCACATTAGTTTCAACGGCGGAAATAGGCGTGACTACTTTTGTTAATATTTATGGTCTGGGCAAAGCTGGGCCGCATTAAGGAGTATGTTTATCATGTGTTTGTGTGTGTGCAAAATATAGTAACTTTGTAGCAAACGGATCTATGCACACACAGTTTAGCTCCATCCATCCATCCATTTTCTTCCCCTTAATCCATTTCTGGGTTGGGGGGGTGGCAGTCAGAGCTGCACCCAGTCCACAGAGCACCAGCCCCTCACTGATCCTCCTGCAGGTGGTGAGGCCACAGGAGCTGAGTGGTTTAGCTCCTGGATAAATATAATATACAGCTACATTTCGAACGACAGATTTTCATTTTTTTACCAAGGGGTTGTGTGTATTTCATTGTTTGTGTCTGTAACATTATATTCATGAGTGTTTTAACTTTTATTGAATATGAGTTTGATATCATTTGTTTCTATGAACAACGTAGAGTTCAGGGTTCAATGTTTATGGTAAAATAACTACTTAGGAGAGAGAGACTAGAGAGAGATTAGAGAGAGAGACCAGAAAGAGAGATCAGAGAGAGGGATTAAAGATGGACCAGAGAGATACAAGAGAGTTGTTTTCTTGATAAAATTAGCTTTAAAACATAACATATAACATGCCATACTATCCAAGACTCTCAGTGGAGGCCGCACTGACATTAAAGTTAAATGTCCATTAGGGGGCCACAAAGTACCTTTTTGCGGACCGCAAATGGCCTGGGGGCCTCGTGTTTGACACCATGCTCTAAATCTTATGGGGTGCAATGTAACTGAAGACATACTTTTGCAAAAGATGGACATTCCCAAAACTAATTTAGAAGTGGAAAAGATTGATCCCAGAACAGTGTGGAGGGAGCTAAACACAAATGCAAATACATCTATATCTGTTGCTTCACTTTTCACTTATCCCATGAGTGGAGAATACCAGGCTGCTGTTTAGAATCAATACCCACCAAAAAAGTCTCGGCAGAACAAACATTCTCCTTGCTGAGTTGGGCCCAAATGCCTGTCATCTGATGTAAATGATGGAGAGTGCAGGTATGTGGGGTTTCTCTTCTTCCCTCGTCCCTGTGCTCTGTAATCCAAGCTAAAGACTATGATTGTGTGAGAGGCAGCACACCTGAAGCGTCCCCTTTAAACACCACACTTTCCTGCATTATGGTCCTCTCACTACACACCAGCTGCTCCGGCACCAGCAGAACGGGACCGAGTGAGGGGAAGGTTCAACTGGAATTAATCACCAGAATTCATTAAAAAGTGATTTGGAAATCTAAGTGTATTTTCAACTAAAGTGAGTAAAAGTCAAAATCAGAAATAATAATAATAATAATAATGATAGATAATAAAACGGGAGAACTCCCAGAGCAGTCAATATTAGTTTAGGGATTTGTAAGTACTTAACATATATACATTTTTTGTGTTCCAAACTTGGAAAGTAAGTAATCTTTATGTACATTTTACAGACTAAGGTCAAGATATCTTTCCATTCTCTCCACACGGTGCTGACGGATCTGTCCTTATAGATAATTGTCGCGTTACACTTGCGGTTATACTGTATGATGTTGCAAAAGGCCATGTAGAATAAGGACTATTTAGTGCATCATAAATACCAATTACAAGCTGATTAACTAAACTGAAGTGTGTTTTTATCAGGAAACATACATTACACAGATTAATTCATCCATATCTGGGACACAAGGGCAGCAGGACGACCAGAGACGCCCAGATAAAAACTTAAAAGACTATTTTACATATTATTATCAAAAGTCTGTTATTTAGTCAAAATGATTCCACCCGAGACCTGTAGCTGTGGATAAATATGGATCGACTGACGCGGGTTTGGGCCCCATGCATCAAAGACGGGACTGAGTTTGGCTCCTGGCAAAGTCTTTCTCGGATTTGGATCAAGAAATGTGTCTGAAGGCAGATATTTTGGCCTTCTTCTATTTTCTATTAGATTATGACGAGGCTTTCATCTCCAGGAGTGAAGTATTTGATAAATTACGTGTTGGTTTTCTATGTGTCAGCTGCAGAGTCACATTTTAAGATCAGGGATGTATTTACAGTAAAAAGTTTGATGTTTTAGTACAGAAGTGTCAAACTCAATTAGGTCAGGGGCCGATAGAATAGAAGGGATTTGCTTTTATTCTAAATTTTTTATTTTTTTTTAACCCTATGAAGGTATTTTGAAATTACTTTAACGTGACATAAGTTTCAGTATTATTTACTCGTTGATTTTTCTGAAAACAAAATGTGGTTATTGTTTAGATTGAATAAAAAATCTGTACACATTGTTTTATATTAACTATTTAACTTCTACTGATGTGTTGAATTCATTTTTTTAATTGTTTTCCTGAAAAAAAGAGTCTGTATAAAATGCCTTAGTATAGCTCATTTCCATCAATGCTTCGAGTTAATAATAATCTTATTAGTGACCACTAAAATGAGTTTGACTTGCCTGTTTTAGTAGGTTATGAAAGGATACACAGTGGAATAGACTTGGATTAGGATGGTTTTTTTCTCAATCACATGTACTCAAGTTGAAAAAGTCATGTCCATTCATTTTCTCAAATACAGAAATAAAAGCGTTTGTATTAATATCCACCCATAGTTTAAAATGACAGACTAAAGCTTGCAGCAGAAATGACAAACGAGTCTTGGAACACTGAGTTATGTCCAAAGATATAGCGTGTATTGAACCCAGAAAGGCCAGAGCAGTGAGAGAAAGGCTGACTACTCGAGATGGGACAAGAGTGGAATAGGATCTCACCAGATTCAATAAATGCTGGTAACTTTTGAGAATCCGGAATCCCAAAAAACAACTATAGTTAAATGTAAAGTTGGGTCAATATTGTGCCGTGAACGTTGCTTTCCATCATATTTTTGATGAACTGTGAAGCCTTTGAAGTTCTACCATTTAACCCTTTAATGTTTCCTCAACCATTTGCTGGATCACTGTTTGAGTTACTGTTGTCATGGTGTGGACTTCCTGTTAATTATCTGGTTTTGTTTTGATATATGTTTGTTCTTTTGACGTGAGTTTTACTTCCTGTCTGTCTTGTTGATTATTTGCCCCGCCCTCATGTGCTGCACCTGTGTGTATTAGACCCTGTGCTCCTGTCCTCTTGCGGCATTTATTAAATTGTATTATTTTGGCAGTTCTGCTTTTGGGTCCTTCCTTGTTTATCTGTGACAACTACATTGACTGGAAGCTTGGAACTGAAATCTAGTAAGTAAGTAAGTGAGTAATCTTTATTTATATACTAAATAAATTAGTATATTGATTATAAATAAAGATTATAAAGTAATCTTTATTTATAATCTACCTCATTGTGACATCTCTACCACTTGGCACGTTTACTATCAAACTGCATCTCAACCATTTGGCAGAGGCCTATAATATATAAACAGTGGTTGAAAATAACTGATTATTTCGTAATTAGTGCTTCTACATCTTAGAAAATCCAAAAAAGAAACATTAAAGGGTTAACACAAACTAAGATTTCTCATCCTGTCTCGTCCCATCCCTACGACTACTGCAGTGGACGTGGAGAGCAGAGACAGAGGACAGCTCCTGTGATACCTGTGATGGTGTCCGCAAACACGGGCTCTAACAGCGCCCCCTTGTGGAGGCCGTACAGACTGGCCCTGTACCAGGTGTTTGGGCTGAGGCCTGAGAGGCTTAGGCTACGGGCGTTCCCAGACACTGTGTGGTTCTGCCACTCAGCACCCGCCTCTGCATCGTTCAGCTCCACCAGGAACCCCTCAAAGGCCCCGTCCTCTGCCCACCACGACAGCACCAGGCTGTCCCAGGACACATCCCTAACCGTCACGTTGGTAATGACGGGCTTCTCCTCCGCTGGACACACACAACAGGCAGTTAGGAACGAGCCGAACAGGGTCGTCTTCGTCCACCCAGGACCTTTGGAGAACCTGGAAGGGAATGTGCTCACCTGATGAAGATTAATCACATATACAGTGAAAGAGTCAATTATACAATTTCTCAGTGCATTGTGTTGTATTCAAGAAAAGAATGAGACTTTTTATGCAACGTTAATACTGGTCATTACAACAGTACGCAGAAGTCAGTAATCATCCACTTGAGGCTCTCTGCTGTTTCTGTTGTTTAAAAGAGAAAAATGTTGGAGACCCCAGGAATAAAACCATGTGAACGTTTATGCTGTGAACCAAGACTACCCCAGTGTGCACCGGACAGTACATGCCAGAGCTCTAATTGTCACAGCGCCATCACCCAAAGCACCATACGAAACCAACAAAAAACCAACAATAAACCAATCAATAAAACATGTCTTCTGTTGCCACGTGATCCCAGACCTGCCCATCTTCAGAAGCTTCCCTGAGCATAATCAAACCTCTACTGTAACAATGGTCTGTGTCATTGTTACATTCTAGGCTTTAGCTCCATCTGCTCCCATCTTCCCTCAATGTATGAAATGCACAAGTTATTGGACCGAAGAAGATTGCAGATGGCTCAAAGGTCACTTCCACAACTTCACTCAGCCAACTTCAAGTTCAGTAAAGCTTTTGATATCAAGTCTAAGAAAAAAAGAAAAACACTTGATTTTGTTCTTCCTGAAAATCCCCAAATCCCAAACTTTTCATCAAAAATGCATGAAATAAAACAAATAGGACACTGACAGACACGTCCCCAAGCTGAAAGGAGGTCAGAGCTGTATCTTTCATTCCACTTTCAATCATCACATTTCTGTCAAAAGAAAACCCAGAAGACCGTCACTTTGTGGATGGAGATATTCTAGTATTTCCACTACAAAGAGAGAGCAAAAACACAGGCTCGTTATGAGCGCTGACGGTCCTATAGAAGCGCAGACATGCTGAGGCAGTGCGTGGACATTAATAGCTGTAAATGAGCCATTAACACTGAAGGTGCGGTGTAGCCTGAGCACAGGAGAACACTGTACACTTCAGACACGTGGGGAGCCGTGCACAGGCAGAACATGCAGCTGCTGGGTATTGTAACATAAGGCCATTGTGGGTAGAGCCCATTCACAGCATTAGAACGAACGAACAAACGAACGAACAAGAGAGAGACAGATAGAGAAAGACAGAGAAAAGGAGACGGAGAGAGAGACAGACAGATAGAGAGGGAGACAAAGAGAGAGAGAGACAGAGACAGAGAGAGAGACAGAGAGAGAGACACAGAGAGAGAGACAAAGACAGAGAGAGTGACAGACGGCAGGTAAACATGAAGTCTCCGTCCGGGGTAACTGGCAGAGTTCAATTCAAACTGATTTAGAGCAAACCAAATGGTGGGGATCAAAACAATATCTCTCCATCTATCTATCTACCTGCCTATCTATTTGGATGCATTAAAGCTACTAATTTAGTTTGATCATTGCATTATGTAAACAGTCCATCCACCGCAAGTTTGTCATTGTTTTGGATTTGAGCTGCGAAAAGCAAATGCCATACACTCCAATGGCTTTGACTCTGTGTAAGATTGTGTGTGGTAGTGGATGTGTGATTCATGGCTGTTCCTTTTTAGGATTCAAAGGTTGTTCCATTTCCTTGCCATTAGTCTTTGGATGCAAAATAGCCAAAGACAAACGCTGGTGCAATGCATACATTAGTAATGACTTTCAGAGCTATGTTTCCTGACTATGTTTTTACTGTATGTCAGATAGCCATCTTAATTAGCAATTGCAGCTCTGAAATCTAATCCGTCAATCTAATTTCATCCCTGCATGTATACTGAGACAAGAGAGGTCTGAGTCTGCATGTACTGTATACTAATACTAGAGTGGTCTGCATGTATACTGAGACACAAGAGGTCTAAGCCTGGATGTATACTGAGACAAGAGAGGTCTGAGTCTGCATGTATACTGATACAAGAGAAGTCTGAGCTCTCATGACTGAACTCTGCCATTTACCAAGTTGCACATTTTCATTTTCAACATAATCCAAGAAAAATATATCTTGGAAACTATGGATAGATGGATCCACTTGTCACAACTCATTCCCAAGGCTTGAATATAGTTATTGGAATCAAATCTCTGGCTGTCCACACCTCTGTTTTCTGTCTGCTCAGTTTTGTGAGATGCAATTTTAGAACCTGGCAACAGTGCAAGCTGCAATTAAGTTTATGATGCATTTGTTCATTTTATGCTTGAATGCCTGAATCAACGGTCGCATATTGAATCCATTGATCGTAAATGTGTCTCTGCACGTCCAATAGAAGACGAGCAAAGCAAAGGGAAAAAGACAACAGCCTTCACATGATATAACGTTATATATAGCCTTGTTGGAATGAGATCGGATCCGCCTATCTTATCTCATGCAGTTTGACGACGGACGGATGTGCGACGATATCAAATGTCCCCTTGAGATATCTCCATTCCGATATCTCACATTTGCATTGTCCACACATCCATATCGTCCGATCTTTTTCCGCTTTGCCGAATTTCAGATGATTGGCTACACATGCCTCTAGCCAATGACCTCTTTGCTTTCCCATACTCCTTCTTATCTAAGCGGATCGAACTGGGTTGAAGCCGCTATCCCAGTAGATCTCATTAGCTGCCGCGGGGCTGTCATGGCGGCACTGCTAATTGCGCGAGAAGCCACATGAGCGTGCATTCGCGTGGCTTCTGGGGCAGCACTTTTTGCTCGTTTTGTGTCACTGTGTTTCATGTGTGTTGCGCTGCGTACGGTTTCATCCATGAAGGAGTCCTGGTTTTATGAGAGTAGGATAAAAGGAATTATGTCAGAAGCAGAAGCAGCACCAGCTTTTTAGAGAACGAAGACAATTGTTGAATTAAAGCAAAATGAAGCAAAGACTCTTCCGTCTTTGTGCCAGCCCCAAGTCTGCACAAAGCACATATCTGAAATGATCTATCTTATTAACCAAAGCAGCAGCAACAATGACCCATTTAATAGATGAACAACAGTGATAAAAAATGCTTAATAATTAAAAGAGAACCCAAATCCTCACTCTATTCTTTACCTCTCTTTTCTGACTGATGCACCGAGCCCAAGCAATTTCCTGTTACTTACATGGTAATAAAAATGATTCTGATTCTGAGGTAAAAAACAAACTGATAAATCTAGGGATAAAACAAACCAGGAACATGGAGACAAATGTGAATCACATTATGGCGGGGAAGGCAATCTACACAGGAACTACAAATGGAACTCAAAGATGGACACTGGACAACCAATACTACAAAATAAAACAAACTATCTATTCATAATAAATCCTCACTCTATCATTTTATGAAGTTAGGAATGTTTTCTTTTCCAAGTAATAGTTTAAAATATATGGATAAACATTAGTGCTGTCATTTAAACACGTGATTAACAACGTTAGCACAAACCCATTTTAACAGTGTTTTTAAATCGTTTTAGCCATGCACGATTGTAGTTTTTTCAGTTTCTTTTGCAACAACTAGTGACATGAGAGAAAACAACTACACCAGTCTGGATGTAGCTGTAGCTAGACCAGAAACAAAGTAGGATCGCGGCGTGCACACACACTGAAGAGTGGGTCATATTTTGGGCGGAAGAGCGTGTTTCGGTGTGCGACACGTCAGCATGCGTTGTGCTCCAGGCTTCTACCACGGGCACGAATCTGAAGTCTGCCCTGTGGCCTTCTTTGTGTGCTGCTGTGCGAGCCTTAGGATACAGCTGTAAGACACAGCAGGCGTCTGTAAGGCATCAATTTCCTCATTGAAGTCACGACAGGAGCTGGCCGCAAACACACCGCTGCTCAATAGCGCGGCGTGATGCGAACGTGCCGTGAACGCTTTGCGGATGCGCCGCAAAGGCAAATTCGTCAAAGCCGCGCAGAAAATGCCGGAAAAAGTATACTTTTATGGAAAATGATCCACGGGCCGGATTAAATAGTTTGGCAGGCCGGACTCGGCTCCTGGGCCTTATTTTTCCCAGGTCTGCTATCGATGCTCAGCATGTTAATGTCACATGGTCACTTCCCCTCCCCCCGGTTGGCTCGCTTCGCCCACAGTTGTGCTCCTGCCGTGTCTGGATATGATAAGGCGTGTGGGGATTGTCCGAGCGGAGGATTAGCCGCCGCCTTTGCCCTGGAACAATGTGAGAACAGACTCTCAGCATGTGGCCCTTTATCGGACGCGAGCACAGTTCAACCCGGTCAGAGCCACAAAGAGCCCAGCTACCCCCAGGCTCCACGCCACTATTATCACATGAAAGAAGAGGATAAGCCTGGCACGGTTATTACTAAATTATTTATATTTATTCATTCATAAATTATATCATTAAGTGTATATTCTATGGAAAGTCTTTGTTTTTGTTACTTTAACCATGTTCCATCACCGTCTCTCGTCAAAACTAGAATCAAGAACTTGCACAAAAGCTCTCGTTAATTAACTCACAATGTTACTAGAGATCATTTGAAATTAAATATATAAATAAAGATAACTAGATAAACGGCTCAATGTGACCACCCGAAGAAAATGATTGCCCACCCCTGAAGCCCCCGAGCCATTTTAGAATCACATCTAGATTATAATAATAAAATTGTAACTTATATAGGGATTTTTTGGACACTCTTATTAAGAAATATAACTTATTTTCATTGTGGCATTGTAGTAGCTTGCCACAACTGTATATGAAGTTTATGAATAATGCCATGAGAACCGTTTTTGGGTGTTGTGGAAAGTGCTAAAAAAGTAGATTAGATTGAGTACATTAATATTGTGTTATCGGTTTATATATCCATCTTGTCCGGGTGCGGAAATTCAGGCACAAATACATTGACATTATATTCCAGTCACTCACTTTCCAGTACTGTCTCGTCGTCCGCTTGGATTGAAACTAAGGTTCTTTTGCAAAATGTCAATCTAAATCCCCTTTCCCTTAATGCCATATTGTTTTCTGCCCTTAACCATATTCAAGAATTGCATAAGTGTAAGATTATTGGCTTCCCACTGGCCATCGTTCTCTCATTTATCTTCTTTTTCTCTTTTGGGTTTAGAAAAATAACACTGCTGTGGGCAAAAAGTGGAAAGAAAAACCTGCAATCGAAAATGAGGCTTTTTGGGGAAAGGGTAGAAAAGGTATTTAGACAATGAGCTGAATTCATTGCATTGGTTTTGCACAGAGCAGTCTTTGTCCGACTCAAACCACAGCATTTTAGTTTGGAAAGATTACCATCCAAGAAAATGGAGCAATGCACCGCCTGGATATAACATTTTATATTTTATTTTGCTTCACTTGGAATAAAAGAGAGTTGTGCATGTGCAGTTTGGAAGGCAAGCTAAGACAGTAAGATGGAAGAGTAGATTATCAATTTAGTTGTATTTTAAGTTGGATGACTCTTATTTCTGGTGGAGAGATAAGAAAAATCTATAAAGTTAAAAGGAAGAAGGCTTTGGGCATCTTTTTATCTTCATTTGTAATTGAATAAATACAAGATCCAGAGATCCCCACGGAGAGCTAAGGAGAGCTATGTCATAATGAACTCCCGATTAATTGCAAATAATCACACATTTGTCCCTGTTCTAAATGTCCCTTGAGTCGGTTTGAAAAAGGATTGGACGAAGCATAAAGCTAATATTAATCCAATCCCCCAAAGTATTTATTTTGGATTGATAGGCCACTCAATCTGTGCCTTTGTTATTGTTTTTTACAGTGTATAGAACTATTTCACATCGTAAAAAAAGACTTGTATTGTCAAATAAAGGCTACTTTTTTGTTTGTGTTTTCATTCAAGTCAGTAAGATATTTTTACAGTGTATATGACGATCACGCCCAGTGGATACGTCCAGTGATCACCAGTGTGCGTGACTGTTTTTGTTTTCGCCACCCCCGCAGGGGTGCAGGTCGGGTGCTGCAGCTGATACCAGATATATGCCCGTGGTAGAAGCCTGGGCAGCACAAGCACACTGACACCCCGCACGGCCAGGCGCTCATCAGCCCAAAATATGACCCACGCATATTCTTGCGGCTTTCAGTCTAAATACATACATGCCTGAATCGGACAATAAAAACATCCACACTGTTAAAATGGGTTTGGGTTAACGTCGTAACATGTTTAACTGACAGCTTGAGATTGATAAGATACAACTCAAGTACGATGCCACAACAGAACAGTCACCCAAGACTGATGGTCACAACAAACTGACAGCCTGCATTGATTACCAGAAAGACTCAATGCCACACATGGATCATGGAATGCTTAAAGTTGAATAATGTCAACAGAGCTCTAAAGCAACTCAATGGGGACGTGGAAGACCCCCCATCAAATGTGGTATTTACCAAGGAGATGTTCTGTCCCTACTGCTGTTCCGTGTTAGTCTGAACCCTCTAAGCCAAATAATTAACAAGACCGGCTTTCGATAATGCCTCAGGAGCAAAGCAAAGATCAATCACCTCCTCTACATGGATGACATCGAGCTGTATGCCAAGAGCGAGAGAGACATTGACATCCAGATCCTAACCACCAGGATCTACAGCCATGGATGGTAAATGTGACAGTAGTGCCCGTGCTGGAGGAGTGGTTATAGTACATCCCTGGAACAACCTCTGAAATCTCTGTCCAGGAATGAACAATGCTAGGACCAGCAAAGATACTGCACAGAACACATACCAGTGGGAGCAGAGATGGAGGCCGGCGCGCTGGTCCTCCTGCCTCTCTCTGCACTGATCCGGATGGTGTAGAGCATCCCAGGGGTCAGGTTGGTGAAGGTGTGGCTCTCGGTGCCGGAGGGTACCAGAGCCTCGTCCTTTTGCCCGTCCGCTGACACGTACAGCAGGCGGTACGAGTCAAGCTTGGCCACAGGGCGCTTCCACTGCAGCGTCATGGAGGTCTCGCTGACCTCGGTCACCGCCAGGTCCTTGGGGGCGTCTAGTGCTGTGGACGGAGGGCAAGGCATTCAGCAGCAGTTAATAAAAAAACCTACTTTCTGCAAATGTTTAGTGGTTGGTTAGTGGTTTTGTCTCTGTGTGCAGTATGTGTGTGAGTGTCTGTAGTGATTGTGCAAAAATCTACAGGCTGAACTGAGCTGAAGATGGAATTGTAGATGGTAGGATGTCATGGTAGGAAGATGATCCGCGGCTATACATGGGGTATACGTTCAGCGAGTGCATGTTCTAGTTTTTTCACGCACTGATGTAAAACTAAGAATGAGCTCCAGCCCACCAAACACTGTAGATTAACAATTAATCATATGGAAAAAGAAACTTAATACTTCACATTTTTATAGTTTGAAGTGGTTGTTTTGGTTGCCACAATATACATACGGTGTATAGTAATAAGCAGACAGCTCTTACCGGTGACAGCATTGGTGGTTGCTGGCTGGCTTTCCCGTTCGTCCTTCACCGCGGTCACTCCCATCCCGTACTCTGTGCCCGGCCTCAGTCCTAAACACCACAGAGAGCGCTTTAAACAGAGCATCAAACTCACCGCCATGATGTGTTTACATGAGTTCAGTCAAGTGGAACTAAACAAGCACCACCAGCTGTTTCTGTCATCGTGCCTGGCATGCTGAAGAACTATTGAGCAGGAAATACACAGACCAAAATGCAGGGACCATCCACTGTGAAAGGGAGGTCACATGTCAAAAAAATATCTAAAATGGGTTTTATTATTTGGTACATTTTTATAAAGAATAAGGCATTATTAAAAAGGTATATAGGAGTATATAGGTAAAATAATAATAATAATGCATTGGTTTTATAGAGCACTTTTTTGGACACTCAAAGACGCTTCACATGTCATTATTCATTCACTCCATAAACAGTGGTGATAAACTACAACTGTAGCCACAGCTGCCCTGGGGCACACTGACAGAAGCGAGGCAACCAGTATGTGCCCTCCGACTACCACCAACCATTCACACACACACACCAGACTCATTCTATTATATATCAAGTATATTGGATTTTCCCAATTTTTAGGAAAGAACCGCCCTCTCGACTTTCTGAACAAAACTCTCTGGTCTTTTTGGATGAGCCCGTATCACCAGAATGATTGACAATTGGGAGGACCAATAGTCTTCATGATCCACCCGGAAGTAGAAAATCCTCCTTTTTTTCAGAATCAGAATCATTTTTATTGCCAACGTAAGTAACAGGAGGTCACAGACTTGGAAATTGCTTTGGCTCAGTGCAACAGTCGAAAAGAGATAATAAAAATAAGAATAAAAAACACTTCTAAAGAATAAATTTAAATTTAAAATAGAGTTACAGTTACTATTTACAATATACAAGTGCACATGGTGCACACAATGTAAGGTGACAGCAGTACAGTGAAGTAAAGTGACGTATGATGGGCAGTAAAGTGACTTTATAAAGGGCGGGGGGACAGGTTAAGAAGTGTTCAAGAGTCCAACAGCAGAGGGGAAGAAACTGTTCTTGTGGCGGGAGGTTCTAGTCCTGATGGACCGCAGCCTCCTGCCTGAGGGGAGTGGTTGGAATAGTCCATGTGCAGGGTGAGAGGGGTCGGCTGTGATACGACCAGCCCGGCCTCGAGCTCGGGCGACGTACAGGTCCTGCAGCGATGGAAGGCTGCGGCCGATCACTTCCTCTGCAGAGCGCACAATGCGCTGTAGTCTCTGTTTGTCCCTGACTGTGGCTCCAGCGAACCACACGGTGATGGAGGAGGTGAGGATGGACTCGATGATGGCCGTGTAGAACTGCACCAACATCTGTGCAGGCAGCTTGGCTTTCCTGAGCTGCCGCAGGAAGTACATCCTCTGCTGGGCCTTCTTGATGAGGGAGCTGATGGTCGGCTCCCACTTGAGGTCCTGGGTGATGGTGGTGCCCAGGAAACGGAAGGACTCCACAGAGGTGATGGGGGAGTCCATCACGGAGGGTGGGGGCGGGGGGACAGTGCTCTTCCTGAAGTCCACAATCATCTCCACTGTCTTCTGGGCGTTCAGCTCCAGGTTGTTACCACTGCACCAGGACACCAGCCGGTCCACCTCCCTCCTGTAGGCGGACTCATCGTTGTTGGAGATGAGTCCAATGAGGGTGGTGTCGTCCGCGAACTTGATCAGCTTCACGGAGTCGTGGCTGGAGGTGCAGTGGTTGGTGTACAGGGAGAAGAGCAGGGGAGAAAGAACACAGCCCTGTGGGGCTCCTGTATTTATAATCCGAGAGTCCGAGACATTCTTCCCCAGACGCACTCGCTGCTTCCTGTCCGTCAGGAAGTCAGTGATCCACCTGCAGGTGGAATCGGGCACGTTGAGCTGGGAGAGCTTGTCCTGGAGCAGGGATGGCAGGATTGTGTTGAAGGCAGAGCTGAAGTCCACGAACAGGACCCTGGCGTAGGTCCCCGGGGAGTCCAGGTGCTGTAGGATGTGGTGGAGGGCCAGGTTAATGGCGTCGTCTACAGATCTGTTGGCTCTGTAGGCGAACTGCAGGGGGTCCAGGAGGGGGGAGGTGAGGGACTTGAGATGGGAGAGAACCAGGCGTTCAAATGACTTCATGACGACAGACGTAAGTGCTACAGGTCTGTAGTCATTGAGTCCTGTGATCCTGGGCTTCTTCGGGACGGGGACAATGATGGAGGATTTGAAGCAGGCCGGGACATGGCAGGACTGCAGAGAGGAGTTGAAAATGTCCGTGAACACAGGAGTAAGCTCACTGGCGCAGTGTCTCAGAGTGGCCGGAGACACGTGGTCCGGGCCAGGAGCTTTGCGGGGGTGCAGCCTCAGGAAGAGTTGTTTAATCTCTTTAGCGGCTATTGTTAGGCTGGGGGCAGGGCTGATGGGTGGGTCGTTAGAGTAGTGGGGGGTGGGGGAGGGAGAGGTGTCAGGGGCAGCATCAAAGCGACTGAAAAATAAGTTCAGATCGTCAGCTAGCTTGTGGTCATCAGCACAGGGGGGGGCTTTGGGTTTGTAGTTGGTGATCTCCCGTAGGCCCCTCCAGACAGAAGCAGTATCGTTGTTACCAAACTGCTCCTGTAGTCGTTCTCTGTGCCGGGACTTGGCTGCTTTCAGTTCTTTCCTGAACTGATATTTAGCTGCTTTGTAGCCGCTGCGGTCACCCTCCCTGAAAGCAGACTCCTTTGCTTTCCTGAGCTGCCGGAGTTTAGCAGTGAACCAGGGTTTGTCGTTGTTATAGATGACCCTGGTCCTTGTTGGAATGATGCTATCCTCACAGAAGTGGATGTATGACGTCACAGTGTCCGTATATTCATCCAAGCTGTCTGTGGCAGCTCTGAAAAGGTCCCAGTCTGTAGATTCCATGCATGCGCGCAGCTCTTCCACAGCTTCATCAGACCACACTTTGGAGCTCCTCACTGCAGGTTTCGAGAGCTTTAGTCTCTGTCTGTAAGCAGGAACCAGATGTATCATGGAGTGATCTGAGAAGCCGAGGGCTGGCTTGGGAACAGCGCGAAAAGCTCCGCGCACGGTGGTGTAACAGTGATCCAGAGTGTTCTCCTCTCTGGTCGGGCATTTGATAAACTGTCTGTATTTGGGTAATTCCTGGCTCAAGTTTCCCTTATTAAAATCCCCCAGGATAATAATCAGAGAGTCCGGGTATAAGCGTTCCATACACAGTACTTGCTCTGCGAGTGCGCGCTGAGCCTCGCGCGCGTCCGCGCATGGCGGTATGTAAACAGAGGCAAGAATGAATGAAACAATTTCCCGCGGGGAGTAATATGGTTTACAATGGATGAAAAGATATTCCAGAGCAGGAGAGCAGTGCTTGGAGATCACTGTCACATCGTTACACCAGTTTGTATTGACGTAGAAACAGAGCCCTCCGCCTCTGCTCTTCCCTGAGAGCGCACAATGGCGATCCGCGCGAAACAGCCCAAAGCCCTGCAGCTCCAGAGCGCAGTCCGGGATCCGCTCATTTAGCCAGGTCTCAGTGAAGCAGAGGACACAGGATGTGGCGAAGTCCTTGTTTCTTCTCATGAGCAGGCTGAGTTCGTCCATCTTATTGCCCAGTGAGCGTACGTTGGAGAGAAAAATGCCGGGGAGAGCCGTGCGCGCTCCTCTCCTCCTAAGACGCACGAGCAGGCCTCCTCGCTTTCCCCTTTTACGGGCCCACACTTTTTTGGCTAGAACATGAACTAAATCAGCCGCAGATGCCAAGAAAACAGGCAGTAGGTCCATGGGAACAGTGGGTCGGATGTTCATAAGTTCCTCACGGGTGTAGGAACAGCCAGATGCACAGTTAAAAAGTAAAAACAAAAGAAAAAGAGAGCAGCAAAGAGCCATGTCGACCGTACGAGGCGCCATCTTTTCATCATTTAAACCTTCAATCTCAATGAGGTCATCTCATCCATCCATTTTCAGAACACAGTCTGAGCAGAGACACTCTCTCGTCCATGACAGAATGATGGAATATGATGTGAATCCTTATATGAGTATGTGAAGGAAACAGAAGAAAAATCTATTATTGTATTTCCCATGACACTGCATCTCTACAACCAGCAGATTGTATGGGGACCTCGTCTCACTGTACCCCTGCCTGCACAGTCCCGTGAAGCATGGCTGTTCTATTTGCATTTATGGCTCTTGAGGGTCTTTGTCACACGGCCGACACATGACTTGATTCCACTCAGACTTCACAATCCTAAGTCACCATTTTCACCCTAATACCGTCATGCAGCCCAGTAGAGGTCATTACACGTGTGCCTTTAACAGCATGAAATTGCAGCTTATACGTGGGAAACTCATTATCAATAAAACCCAGAGCGTGAAGCCAATTATGGGTAACACCAGTGAGAGAAGTGTGGCCGAGCGGAGGGGGAGCACACACGTTTGTTCATGGGCCACCTACACCTCAAAGGCAAAGGGTAACACAGGGAGGAAAAGCGGGTATTCTGTAACGGATCTGTTTCAAAGTTTAGTCAAAGAGAATAGATAACCAGAGGCCAAGCTCTTGCAGCCGCTAGATGGCGCTGTTGGCTGTTGTCAGAGTAGAGATTATAGACACTTAAATTAGACTGGTGATTGAGTACCGGTATAGAAGCTAACAGTGAAGTTAAACACTTCATCATTAAATCATGTTGTGACCAGATACAACTCTACATTACAAGATGAAAACCTGCGGCTTATACTCAAGTGTGGCCTTTCTGTAGATACAATTGATTTTCTTTTCAAAATTTAGGTGGTGCAGCTTATATACAGAGAGTGGGAGAGTGTGGAGGGACAGAGACCTGAGGACTCTAAAAGCACTCTAACTAAACACGCTGATGCACGTCTGCATCAGCCCTTTGAGGATGCTTTTTCGCTTCATGACTAGAGCAAGCTCAAGCGAGAGATAACGAGGCTGAGCGCCACCGGCACAGACCGAAGCTGAGCAGAACCATGACCCAAACTTCCACTACAAATAACTTGTCTGGACCGGGCGTAGGAAATGTAGATCCATTTACCCTGGACCCAGAGCACAGAGCATAGGAGCGGAAGGAGATTTGGTTCCATTAAAGTTGATGGTTCGATAGCGGTCAGTGAGGGACCGTGTGAATCACTCAAGAAAAATGTGTTTTACAACAAGAAATGCAAGTTTATTTATGCAAGGGAATTGTGTGATTGACAGTGTCAAAAGCTTTTGACTAATCCAGAAAAATACCTGAATTCTTTGTAAAGTGTAACAATTAAGGAGAGAACAGGTGTTAGGTGACCTGGCTGTAGAGCATGTGTACTGAGATGGTATGGACATATGCAGATGGAATGCTGCGTAAAGAGCGCGTTGAATGTGAGGTACGGCAGTGGAGGAAGCGAGAGTTTGTGCACAAGATAAGGAAGCATGGAGAGTGATTGGAATGCATACACTGACACGACCCTGACAGGTGCACTGTCTACAGGAAGCGAGGGGGTAAAGCAGTTTATACTATAGGCCCCCCTGGCTGAAAGCCAACGAGAAAGCCAGGGCCAAGACCCCGCCTTGGTGGCACCGGGCAGCAGAACCACAGAGGGGTCTGGAGGTGTGAATATGGATAAATGTGTGATTGGAACTTCTTATTGCTTAAAGATTCCCAGATTAATTCCTTTAAAGTATTTACTCAATACGGTTTCTCTATCTGGAATACCCTTCAGTGTCTGTCTGCCCTTACGTTCAATTATCAAATCATTGAAAGTCTTTCTTGCATAGTCTCCTTTAAGAATGCTTTTAATCAGACTTTTGCCTATGCTTCACTACCAACTGAAGTGATTTCTTGGAAGTAGTCTTATTAAATCCCAGAATTTCCATCCATCTTTGTTTATTTACAGCTTGAATTCCCCACCTCCTGCAGAGCGGCTTCCTTGTTGAGTAAATGGTTTCAGAATGGGCTGGATGCCGAGTGAGCACAATAGTTGCCTGTTCATAGATAGTGGAATCTTCTTTGTGACGACTTAGGCCTAAAGACTGAGACAATAAAGAGCTCCAGAATGCTTCACTTTACATGGAGGAGGATGGAAAGATGATTTAAGTGTGAAAGTGCTTGACCGATCGATGCAGTGAGCTGCAGAAGTTATTGATTGAAGACTAATTGGTCCGACATGCTCCATGAGATCAGGGTCTTAATCAAGTCTACGCAGTCCACACATGCTGAGGTTCACACAGTCTGCAGTGGGATCGAGTCCGATGTGACTCAAGCCCAAGGCCAGGGTCTCAAAGACTCAGAATACTGTGAAAATGTTTTTTTTTTAGCTAAGAATGAATTTTATTGGTTCATTGTTTATTGTGCTTACTGTATGAAGTTATAAACCCTGCTTTAAAGTTTATTAGCTGAAGTACAAGCTAAAAACATAAGTACATAAATATATACTTCTGTTATCAGTGGTTGCAAGGTACTATTTATAATACTAATAATGGTCAATAGCTGGAATGTAAGTACAGGGAAACAAAGTCAAAGGACATGGAACCGTATTGTACATTATTAACATTTCACATTATACAACACTACAACAGTATTTCACATGTTGCACATTTTACTTTCCATTAAATTAAGCTACGTCTATATTCTCAAAGGCTCATAAGAAGAGAGGGGATAAAGATTAGAAGGGACATTCCAACAGCAGATGCCCTTTACTTTAATTGTCATAATTATCATATTAAACCAAGGGGTCTCCAACATCCGTTCGACTGGTCCTAACAGTGCAGTCGCTTCCTTCATAGTAAATGCAGTATCCATCAAACCCCATGATCTTTATGAGCATTGATGTGTTTAATATGTTTCCATAATTACTCTGTAAACTCATTGTCACATGTCACAATATCCAGCGTTCAATAAGAGGGTTCAATAAGAGTAGTGAAATACTTCCAACTAGTGGTAGAAGTGGGAAATTACATCCAAAGCACCACAGCGGGAAGTTCCTTTTAGAACTCCAGGTCTGTTTCTGATGAAGTAACCTGGTTATAAAGTCCTTCATCCCCATTGTAATGAACCGAAGGAGTATTTGAAGTTGAAATACTAACATGTGAAAGATTCTCAGACTCAGACCATGGACTGAGCGAGTGTCAGAATCCTCAGCCCTGGCTCCATGTTTTCTCAGCACATATTGAACCATATTGATCGGTGAAAGTGTAGAGGAGCTGCACAAATACTAGTGATGTGGTAAAGTAGGTCAGCTCGTGCTCATGGTAAAGAAAACTCATATTTATAATAAAACACTTAATATAATAAATGTTTTAAAGAACATATTGTATACATTATTATTGTCAATTTTATAGAACATGATCTTGTTTTAGAACGTGAAGACTATAAAATTATATAATTAAACATAAAACGTAAAATAGATAAATATGGATAATCAGGCTCAGATAAACACCGCCATCTAGTGGTACAAGTGGGAAATTCTCTTCTGCTTTTATATTCAAGATAAAAACGTGTTGGGAAGAACATAAATTCGTAAAAAGAAATAGTTTTAAGTCATAGTTTGAAGATGCAGGTGTTGTAGAGTGGGGAGTGTTTGAAACTATTTGTACCAGAAGAACCTGATATTAGCGAAAAAACAACTCCAGGCCTGTTTTTGACAAGGACAGATTATGTAACTTGACCCAAAGCTGTAGCAGAATCTGTACCTTAGTCATATTGTAGCGTCTCTGCTTGAGGTAATGAATGGTAGAGACAGTTATCTACGTAACAACGTCAACACAGCTCAGCCAAAACCAAAACAGACGCCCGTCCATGTCTCCTGCACCCATCAAAAAAACTATCTCCACTTATATGCCAGAGGTGTCAATCCGGTTTCAGAAAGGGTGTGGCTGCAGGTTTTAGATCCAACCTGAGCACCTGCCCTTTGAGGACCGGTTTGACCCTGCTCTAAGCCAGTCCTGCTGTAGACCTCTGAGAATATCAATGCATTTAACAGCATTCATAATCCCATCAGGAACAGTAGCATAGATGCAGAGTCGCCACAGTGCGGTGAGTTTGTGTGAGTTTGTACCTGTGATCTTGGCCTGGGTGCTGTCCCGTGGCCCGGGGCTGAACAGCAGCTCTCCATGGTCTCCTCCGGACAGAGGCCCGTACTTGATGCGGTAGTTGTCGACGCGGGCGAAGCTGTTGCCCCATTCCAGCGTGATGCTCTCGTCAGTCACATCCACAGTCTGCAGGTTCTTAGGCGTGTCCAGATCTGAAGTTGAAGGGTTTGGATTCAAAGTTATACAGATGGGAAAAGTAATTAAAATGGTTTAAAGGAAAAATGTTATTCTGTAAATAGAAAGAAACTATACCTCATGTATTTTTAACATAATTCTATTCAAGGTTGATGGGGATAGCTGCCCTTTCAACTCAGTAGGCTGTGGACAGTAGCAGCCAATTAGCAGCTATAGCCCATGCCGACACATACCACATGTGTCTTTTAACGTATATTATTATTAATTGTGCATCAGTAACGACTTGTGCACAAGTTTTCACTCCACATTGTACGTGAAAGCTAACGCTAGTGGTGGCATGAAGACGAGGGTCATACACAGTTTTCAAATGTGGTTTTACTGAAAATGGCAAATACATTTTTGAATCTTGAATCTACTGTTTATTGTGTGTTGTCCTGGATCAAATAAATAAATAAAAATATATCATGAAAGTTAAAACTTTATTTCCATGGTAAAGTGCCACCTCTAGAAAGTATTTCATGATGGGAAGAAGTGATCACAGATTACAGTTACCCAGACTTTCCCTGTAGAGCGCGTGAGAGGCAAGCGAAAATCAACCAACAACAATAACGTTTTGGCCACAGGCAAAGAACGGATCTTAAACATACGTGTGTAACGTGTTTGTACTGAATGCTCAAAAATAATAACTTTACAAATGCTAAATATTCACAGTAAATCAGTAATCTTTAATTAAGCAGCGCTTTTCTCAGACCAGAGTCACAAAGCACAAACAACTGTTGCCATTTGTCTGTCACTCCACACAGAGAGTCGCCTACAGGAGGCACATGTCAGACCTATTGCAAATAGGTGGAATCCTATACAGACACAGGGAGAACATGCAAATTCTGGAGGTGGATTTAAACCCAGGACCTTCTTGCTGTGAGGCACAAGCGCTATCCACTGTGCCACCGTACTTCTGTTTGTTTAACTAAAGACATGAGACAGAATGTCCCCCGGTGAAAGTGCAGAGATGATTGGATTTCTACCATAACAATGTGTTTGAAGCTGTTGTGAGCAGCGGGGGCCACTCCTCATAAAAACAGTGATTAAAGAAATGCTTCAGTCGGTGTGGCCACCCGCACAGAGACATGCACTGGACTCACTTTATTCACACTGTTACATTTTCCTTTACACGACTTTGAAGAACATCTCAAAGTGTAATATGTTCAGACCCTCTTGCCGATGCAGGAGGCTCATAATGAAGGTAGCATTTGTAATTACATTACAAAATGCAATTACAAATGCTAATGTAACGTAATCTTAAGTATGAAAGTATTGATCTAGATCACAGAAGTTAGCAATTTAAGGCTTTTTATTCCTTTGAGGAAAAATACCTGCATGAATCATTCAGAAATCACGAGTCAGAAAAAATGGGCGAAAAAGTCAGTAAAAACAGTGTATGTGTGTGGTGTGTGTGTGTGTGTGTGTTGTGGTCAGAGGAGTCAGGGCCAGAAGAGTTTAACTCATTGTCTGCCATTGACGTCGATTGCGTTTTCCGCTCTTTTCATGTTCCCAGATGTCTATTGTATCTAATGTGTATGGGGATTAGCTTTAGAGCATATTTTATCAAGCCAGCAGGTGGCACCAGCGCTGCCTCTGTATGTCAGGTAGTCATAGTACTCAATATTCTGTGGGTCTTGAAAAATCAGTAAAAAACCATCAGAAACGGCTGGCAATATGAGAGTTCCTTTTCTGAAATAGGCTGGCAGGCAATGAGTTAATGACTCAAACAAGAAAAGCCAAACTTCATCTCCACTGTGAAACATAAACATTGTGTGTACAGAAGAATTTAAGTCACCTGTGAGGAAGGACTGGTAGACGGGGGTGCTGCTGTGCTCCCCTCGGCGTGCAGACAGGGACACCTCGTAGTGGGTGTCCGGCCGCAGGGCCCCCAGATGGAACTGTGTATCTGTGGGAGGCAGCTCCATCACTGTGCGCTCTGCAGGATCAGCACTGGGTCCATACGTCACCGTCAGACCGTCGATGGAAGCCACAGGCCTGAACCAGGTCACCAATGCCGTGCTGTCGGTCACGTCCCGCACATCCACCTGCGTCGGAGCATCCAGCTCTGTGGCAAACACATGAAAGCGGATCTGAAACACCAGCGGCTGCTGTTGGAGACACATTTACATCCACTTAAGATCAATACGACAGTGGCTCAGTTGGTAGAGCATTGGTCTTTGAGCCTGAAGGTCGTGGGTTCGAGCCCACCATAAGACCTACTTCACGACTGCTGTCGTTGTGTCCTTGGGCAAGACACTTAACTCCACATCGCCTGAAGCCCCCACTGAAAGATCTCAGCTCCTGTGGACTCACCACCTGCAGAAGATCAGTGAGGGGCTGGTGCTATGTGTACTGGGGGCAGCTCTGACTGCCACCCCCCCGACCCAGAAATGGATTAAGGGCAAGAAAATGGATGGATGGATGGATACGATCAATAGCCTTAAACAAGTAATATGATGCATTATTTGTGAAAATATTCCTTAAACAAGTGTATATAATATACACACATGTTTAAAGGACAATGGCCAATATAATTGCATTCATTTCATAGTTACATAGTTAATATTCATTACAATTAATCGCACATTTTTATCTAATCTAAATGTCCCTTGATTTGGCCTTTGATTACTGAAGAACGGAACTTCATCACAACTAATTGATTATTAAATCTTCCATTTTTATTAATTGAAAATGTTTTGATCAAACAACAGTGTGTCATGGCTTTGGTCATTTTAGCCAAATGTATAAAGAATCTCTCTCTTTCCTCTTTTTAAAAATCAATTGTATAACTTCAGTTCCACCAAGGTTGTGGAACATGACATCCCAGATGTGCCGTGTGCGCCCTGCCCCCATGTGACTGAGCCTGTTTACCCTCCGCAGGTATCTGGGTGCACGTCAGCCCTCATCCATTCATAAGCCCTTTCCACAATTTACTTGTCAAATCCCTGCGCCGTGAAGGACGCTCTTTTAATGCTGTCAACATTCATTTGTCACACGTAAGCAACTCAAGCCGAGTGTTGCGGCCTGATAACGTGAAGCATCTGAGCTCAGCTTTAGCGTCTTTGAGTCTTTGAGGCTGAAGAGCAGAGCTGTGCCGTGGTACAGAGTTCCTCCACTGGGACAGGTTTTAGTGACAGAGAGAAAGAGGAAGCAGTGTAGAAGTGAGACTCCCGACGGGACAATCCTGGACTATTTACAGCGGAAAATGTAACAAGAGCAACAGAGTTTAAAGTGATTTTCATGGACAAAGTATTTTGACTGCTCCCATTCAAGCCAGTGGAATTAAGAGAAAATATTTTGTTTTTCATGAGCTTTACTAAAAGTAAGTCATGTATGAGTGTTTTAGCCACAATGGTTCCCTACTTGTACTTATCCAGTTATAATACATATTCATCTACATTTTCTACTTAAGCAATTACTGGATTCTATTCAATTAAAAATGTTTGAACTGCACCTATCCTCAAAGTCATGGAAAGGACCTAATGAACATTCAATGTTCCTTTGAATCCTTTTGACTCTTTATCGTCTGAGACGCCTGAGGAGGTGTCTCAGAAAAATGCTTGCTCTTATATTGCATTTCAATCTGTACGTCTGTATATCTTGGCACTCTCCCGCTGTTTGAGCTCATAAATAACCTCTGAGCTCTGACCCGCTGCTGCAGAGACCTGTCACTGAGCTCCCGTTTGTGTTTGGGGCCCGCACTTCCAGATTCATAAACTGCAAATACATCAGATTCATTTGGGCCTAAATATGAACTTTACTTTTCATGTTTCAGTATAATTTCTTCAGGCATGTTACATTACATACATTACACATTATATTGTCACAGTCTTTCTAATTTAGCGTATGGTTCTATGGGAAAAATGAAATAACTTAAAGAAGCAATATGTAAGATTTTCATGTTAAGTCATCATTAAAGGGCCATAATCTGTCAAAAAGTATTAATAAAACATGCTCTTTTCAAATACTTCTTTAACAGATAACAGTAGTTCAGAGATATTTGGATTTAAAAAATATTTTTACAGCCTCTAAATATTGTTATTGTTTTCATTTCAATCCCGCTCTCCACCGTTTTACCAATCAGAAAGTCCGTGATCCGGGTTACCAGAACTCACCAGGTGGAGCTAATCTCACTGGTAAAGTACCATGTGGCCACAGAACTAAAAAAGGTCTCATTATGATTCTCAAATGCTTAACGACAAAACAAGGAATAAAACCAGGATTTCTATCTTTGTGAAAAAGGTGTTGGTTATAGATTTGTTGTTGACAAAAATCTTATCTATTCAGCTGTTATGGTCCCAGCTGGATTAATCTGCTTATCTGGCAACCTGAGTCAGGGAGAGTGGGAGAGGTTGCAGTACCACATTTGGCCAGATTTTTACATACTACTCCTTTAAGTCTGACACATATGGAGTCTCTTTGCTTCCATCTTTATCTGTATCATTATGACTTCAGCTCTGTCATCGTCTGAGGATTTATCACAAGGTAGAGGGTTTGAAAACAAGAGAATTTAGACAGAAAATGTTTGGGGGATGTGTTAGTGTAAGAAGTGACAATCATGAGAATAGAGATTAAAAAAACACAACTCCAGGTCTGTATTTGACAAGGAACATAGTTAAATGTTCAAAAACATAACATTTACAGAGAGTTATCGTTCATTTATCTTGTGTTGTGTGCTCCTCATTTATACTGTGCTGTAACCGGCGATGCAACACTGAAATTTCCCTACTATGGGACAAAAAATGATCTCTTAATCTCAGCGCAAATCATCTCCTTTAATAGCTTGAGCAGGAGGCCCAAGGAACAGCTACAAGTTTTCATTTCCTCCGTCTCTGTGAACCTTCCTCCACAGAGTTTTACAAACCATTGGATTTTATCGTCGCTGGAAGGTTGAGCTATGGTCCCGTCTCTCTGGGATCCATATCTGCTTTTACAACCTTTTAAATCACAACAGTGCAATGAAATATAATGAGCTAAATCAGTCAACAATGGCTTTTATACTCTCCCGGCAAACAGGAAGCAACGATCTGGCTCCAACAGACAAGGTGGCAACTTGGATTAGAAACGAATTCTGACAAGGTCCTGCTTTTGTGGGAAAATTAAATCTAATTAAGATTAAGATTAGATTAAGAGATCCTACATACATGCCACAGCGGGGAAATGTCAGTGTTGCATCACAAGTTACAGAACAGTAGGAATGAGGAGCACACAGCACACGAGAAATGAACAATAGCTATACTAATTAAAATAAAACAAAATCTCGAACTCTTGCTAAAATCGCTATCTTGAATTTTAATCCAGGATATTATACACTTGGTGGTTCGTCTGATTAGCTGGCCATAAAGTTTTACAAATTAATTTACTATTCACTAGTTCTTCAGTGTTTCTTGTACAAAGTAGAAAAGGAAAAAACACATCGAGAATTTTGCCAAAACTCTTGTCACTTTAAAATACTGCAATATGCCCGCTAGCCTGCTTGCCAGTAGCTTGCTTTCTCGCTGCAGACTTTAGGAGAGCGCCATGGCAACACGTGCCGCACAACTGTCTGCTGTCGTGACGCTAACGTAAATTAAAAATCGGTTGCCAGAATCGGGTCTAATGGGGTGAGTAAAAGTACGAGTACAAGCCCATGATGACGACCCGATACCCAATACCAATATCGATATTGGTGCATCCCTATAAAATAACAATATTTTTGATGCAGTAACAATATTGTACAGTGTTAAAAGCGGCAATATACTTCTATAATATCATGCATATTATGATATGGGGCGACAGTGGCTCAGTTGTTAGAGCATTGGCCTTTAGACCTGAAGGTTGTGGGTTCGTTTCCCACCTCAACACCTTCTCCACCGACTCCCACTGATGACTGCTGTCGTTGTGTCCTTGGGCAAGACACTTAACCCCACTTTGCCCAAAGCCCCCGCTGAGAGATAATGGCTAAGCTCACACTGACAGAGCAGCCGTCCTCCTGTGGACTCACCACCTGCAGAGGATCAGTGAGGGGCTGGTGCTATGAGACTTGAAATGGATAAGGGGTAGAAAATGGATGGATGGAATATCATGCATACTGTAGAACCGCTATGCATGATATTCCATCCACAGGGTTTGATTGTAGGTTTCTGACACTCACTGGTGACGATGCTCTTGGAGGCCGGGGGTCCTCTCTTGTTGTTCTTCACCACCTCCAGCTTGACCTCGTACTCCTGCCCCGGGCCCAGGCCTGACTGCTCAAACGTGGTCTCGGGACGACCCAGAGAGTTGGTGATCTCTCCATCCTCCTCTTTCTGAAGAAATACACACACCCTCAAAACACCGTCTTTAAATCCCACTGGCTTTTTATTTCTCTTGGACCCATGTTAGCACCGGAGACTCCAAGTTCTCACTCAGTATCTGCAAACTTCTACATTTAAACTAAAACAACAGGAGTTGTACTTTCTTTATCCTTAAAACTCACCAAGAGACTTAGATTTAGACAGACCGGAAATTGCGTCAAAGTAGCTTGCATAGTATTTCACAATAGAAAGTGTAAATAACATTAAAGTATCTGAAAATAATAATAATAATATAATGATAAGATAATATTGTGAGAATAACTAAACATCTTTTAAGTAAGCGCCGGGGTCCGCTTCGTCCTGAAGGTACTTATTTTATGATAATGACCTGCGTACTATACATTATCCCACTTATTATAAGGCTTTGTACACACCAAATAAACTTCAGTCCACTTTTAGGAATGCCAAAAGGTTTATTTAATGACTGCAAATAAAATAGTTCCCAAAGGCTTTCCCGTGGCTATGCAAGTAACACTTAGGCTAGCAACTTCCAAACTAGAACTCTCTGGAACTGCATGAAAACTGAACAAAGAATTCTGAACATCAGCGGTGAATGACACATACATAAACCTAACCTAAATCCATAATCCGATCCTCTGCAAATGTGTCCTAAAATGTCCCGGAATCTACTTCCGGTTCTATCCGATCGCTTTTTCTCGCATTAAAACAGTATTTTTGTCATGGAAAATAAATAACGACCGGTAGAACGTTTTGAAATTACATTCAAATCAATGGAGCGTTTCGCCTGCTGCTCTGAGGAGCCGTGAAATAACATGCGATTTACAATATGTGATGTATTTAAATATGCTGATCTCTATCTAGATTTTATGAATGAACAGCTGATGACAGGACAACATTTCATTGAATAACATTTGAAAATGTGCTTTTTACTAATAATTTGCTCATTATGCATGATTAAAGCTGAGGTACCAAACATTTTCATAATAATAATACATTTTGCCCCAACAAAAAGAGTCTTTTAAAAGTAAAATATCGCCTATACAACATTTTCTGACTGCATACTGTATACTGTAAAAAAAAGTCCCTGTGAGTCACCGATTGTTGCTTTTGGGCTGAGAGCTGTCTGAGTGAGGGTGGTCCACTCATTATTACTTTTCTGTCTGAAAAAGCTGATTTAAAGCCAAATCTCTCCAAAAACTACATGAAGATGAAAATAGAAATAGAACCAAACTATTTCAGAGCCTGGAACTAGTTACATGGTAATAGATTTAAAAATAAAACCAGAGACGTCTGCCCCAAATGAGGAAAGATTTAGTAGACATTAAATAGACAAGAGTAAACAAAGGCAGACCTACCTAAAATATGATTAATGTAAATGGTTGAACGGGTAAAATTATAATTATGAATAAAGGTATAATATGACATTAGTTTCTTGAGGACCTGTGTGAGCTCATGCAGCTTCCTGGGAGTTCTCTTGTGGGGAAGCTTTGTCAATAAAGTCAATTGAATTAAAGGGATCAAGACCTCATTGAAAGCAAGTAGCTCAAGAAACATAACACAACGTCTGTAACAACTTGGAACTCAGATACAGGAGGAAAACCTATGTCCTATCTGCCAGACGGCCTTAGAACAGATACTACGCTCTGAAGAGTTAAGGATTAGTCTCTAACTTACTCGTATTTCAGGTTAATTCGCATTTCTCTACAAATCCGATTTCTATCACAACCTCTGCATAATTTCTGCAGGTGTTATGAAAAGGGTAATCTTAATGCAAAGGCCTATTGGATTTCTGACTTCTGTCTTATCGGGTTAAATAAAGAAAATACTGCTGTAATAGTATTTTTTAGAGGTTGTCAAATAAGGAACCATTTATCCCATAACTATTGCCTCTGACAGAGCATGTGGTATGTGAACTCTGCAGGGGTCAGTAGACAGAGGCTGAATAAACTCTAGTTACACCGTCTTCACTGCTGCATGTAGTGCCTCAGAATGAATTTTTCCTTCACGAATGTTGCCAGAGCCGTACTGGCACATTTGGGAATCACTACATTCACACAAATGAACAAAGGTCAATGGAGTTTGGTTTTATGAGGAAAAGTCTAATGTCTAATAATGAGCATGTACATATTTGTGGTCGTGCCAGGTGTTTCCAGACACCGGCTCAGAATAATCATTGTTTTGGCAGGATTCGACCTCAACTGGCATCACTGTGTTTCTCTTGGATTTCTGAATTATATAATCTGGAATAATAAAGTCCAATGTGTTAAAAAGAAGTAGTTATTTATAGCAGTGCTAGGAGACTGAGGAGCAAAGGGACCGGCCTCCTGCAGGGACTCTGAGAAGCACAGGGACCGACCTGCTGCTGGTGCCCAGAGTCAGAACTAAACAAATGCAGCCGTTCAGATTCATGCAGCTAAATTGTTGGTCTTCCTAAAATTGTGAGACAGGCTTCTTCTCTGACAATGTTTCAATCCAGATTTAAAAAAGTTTGGTACCTTCAGTCTTTTTAATGTTCTGTGATTATGTATGATTATAACGCCTTGAGGATTAACTGCGCGATACAAATAAACCTGCCTCGTCAAATGACATAATTTACAACTGATTAACATGATTAAATCTGAGAGACTTACTGTGTTTCGGAAGATGAGGTTCCATCCGTCGAAGGGAATGTTGAGCGGGTCCCATTGCACCTCCACCGACGTCTCTCTCACAGACTTGAACTTCAGTCCTTCGGGCTCTGGCAGATCTGCAGAGAAACATGCAGCTTAAGCAGAAGTTCATATTGGTTAAACGACCTACGTCATCGCACCGAGCCCACGACTTCCTCTGTCTTACATCAGCTTCATCAACTCCCTGCAGCTGCTAATCAAGCCAGCGTTTAAAAGCTGGACACCGCACACCAAACAGCCTTTTCAAGCCGCAACCACCTCCTCCACCTTCTCACCTATTCTCATCATCTACCTCACAATGGGCCCCCAGTCTGTGCTTATAGAAGTTCCAACGTGTAGTCCCAATGAGACAACTTTACTCTTTAATCACCAATTTTGTAAAGTCCTTCCTTTCTCATATTTTTAAAAAAAGGCACACTGTGTAGTTTTTACTCCCATCTAGCATTGAGATCATATATTGTAATTTACAGTACAGTACTACGGTAGCTTCACAGGACAATATGTCGTCTTTGACTGTGGTCCCCAACTCCTGCTGAAACTCCTTTTTGTCCCTTATCCAACCCCTGTATTTCATGATGGAGCCTTGACACAGAGAGTCATTCAGCCTCATGGACATTTACAAGTCAATTTCTAAGCCTATAACAACAATTCAAAATCATGATTAAGGTAAATATTCCTAAAAAGGTCACATTTGTTATTGTTTTTTGGAGCAATTGTAGAAATTACGCAGAGTACCTTAAATGATTTTATTTCTTTGTTTGCAGGACATGTGCATCAAGTTAATAATGTATGAATATGAGTAATATAGAATACAATATAAACAATAATACAGTAATAAAAATCAATTTATAAGGAAGGGCAGCTCAGTAAAGGCAAATACAAAGAAAAGTACAACCAAATGCTGGATACTTTAATTACAATAATAAAAAACTAAAACTCACGCGTCTCCACTCGGGCACTGACGGGAACACTCTTCTTGTTGTTGAGGATGGCGTAGACGCTGATCAGATACTCGATACCCGGCTCCAGCTCGCGAATCGTGGCCATCTTGTGGTCTCCAGAAACGCGCATATCCATCTCCAGCCCCCCGACAGCCGTGGGCGCGTAGGTGATCAGGTATTCAGTCACACGCATCTCATTCTCCCAGGAAAGGTCCAGCGTCTCTGGGTTCACTACGGTGGTGACCAGGTCTTTGGGAGGAGAAACTGCACGGAAACGCAATACAAACTATATTGACACTGTTAATACACACATTTTATTAAACATTATTATGATCCGAAAGCCTATTTCCATAATCTGAAATTAACCTGAAATTTGGCTAAAAAAGCTCAAGCTAGAATAAGATAAGATATACTTTATTGATCTCACACAGGAGAAATTTACGGAAATTACATTAATATAACTGCTAACTGTATATTTATGTAAAACAGTTCTTCTATCTGCTATCATTTGTTTTCTATTCAATTCAATGAACAGATTTGAAACAATGCAGATCCTTGTTTTGTCAGCTTGAGCATCTCTCACACATGACATGTCTAATTCATATCAGATGTTTCCCAGCAGGAGCTCTATTGATGTATTTTCCAGTGATACCATTTAATTTTTTTGTAGAAATTGCCCAACTCTTAAGCCTTAAAACCCATTCATCCCTCCTCCCTAAAAATAATTGAAAAGAGCAAACTCATCAGTCACCATCACGTACAGTAGACTTGATGAGCACCATTGTTCACTCTTTCCACCAATATCAATAGAGCAAGTTACAGAAAAGTACATTGGATTCAGAATTGAAGCCCACTTTGAAGTCCAAGCATAAGTTTTTAAAGGCATAGACCACACCAAAGACGTCAGGGCATCATTGACAAACAAATCCACCCTTCCTTCCATAGACTCACTCAGGACGATAACTGCTGTTGTGATTGAGGGCTATACAAAATAAATGTTGAATTAGAATCTTACAGACTAACTTTACAAAGTAAAATGTGGTTTTCTTGATGTATGTTTGCACTAGAGATGTGAACTGTCAAAAATCTGTACCGAATGCAGATTTAGGTATACAATGGTTTAAAAATAGACCCTCCACATTTGAAATCAAATGTTAATCTAATTTAATGTAATGTATTCATTTATTTGATTGTATCAAGCTTGTATAATGTGATGCAAAAAAAGAGTTTATAACTATTGCTAATTTTCAACTCCTGTCCCTGTTTGGCCTTTCTACTCTACATTAATATTTTCAATATTATTTTAAAAACTGACCTATATACACTGTTTGAATCAGTTCTATTTACAAATGGGTACCATTCTGGTTCAATTTCCGGACTCAACTCGAAAAGAGAACATTTTAAACTCAGTCATGGTTTAACATTCATTGGGTAATGAGTCCCAAAACTTTGCACTTCTATGTAAATGCAGACTCATGAACCCATGAATTTTTACCCATGAACCCATGAATACCTTGTCCACTCCATTACCTTCAGAGCAGTCCTCTCCTATGAATCCCTCATCGCAGATGCACAGTCCGTTCTCGCAGCGGCCTTGGTTTTGGCACTCTCCAGGGCAGGTCAGCTCGGAGCAGTCGTGGCCGGTGAACCCTTCGTAGCACACACAGGTCCCATCGACGCAGTACCCTCGATCCAGGCAGTTATTGGGGCACGTCTTCTCACTGCAGTCCTCCCCAGAGAAGGCCTTTTCACACACGCATTGCCCATTGACACAGCGCCCACGACCGTTGCAATCATTTGGGCACGTCAACTCGCCGCAGTCCTTCCCGGTGAAGCCTAAGAAGCACACGCATTTCCCATCAACGCAATCTCCACGTCCAAGACATTCTTTGGGACAGGTTTTGACACTGCAGTCCTCTCCTGCGTAGCCTTTGTCACACACGCATTGGCCGTTAACGCATCGGCCTTGGTTTTTGCAATTGTTGGGGCAAGATATCTCGCTGCAGTCTTCTCCTTCGAATCCAAAATCGCATAAGCACTCTCCGTTTACGCACTGTCCCCTATTGCTGCAGTTGTCTGGGCAGGATAAAATTGAGCAGTCTGGGCCTTCAAACCCAGGATCGCAAATGCACTTCCCGTTGAAGCAGTGACCTCGTTCTTTGCAGTTGTTGGGACAGGTGAGTTTTGAGCAGTCTTCGCCCGTGTATCCAGTTTGGCAAACGCATTGGCCGTTGACGCACATGCCGCGATTGTTGCAGTTTCCAGGACAAGTGAGCTCGCCGCAGTCTTCTCCGGTAAAGCCTTCGTCGCAGTAGCACGTTCCGTTAATGCAGCGGCCTCGATCGTAACAATCGTTGGGACAGATGAGCTCGGAACAATCAAATCCAGTCCACGGTTCGTCGCAAACGCACTCATCATCAACGCATTTCCCACGACCTAAGCAGTTGTTGAGGCAGTTTGTCTGAGAGCAATCTTGGCCGACGAATCCATCTTCACAAAGACAGGAACCTTCGACACAATGTCCATAATCGCCGCAATCCAAAAGACAAAGCTCGATACCGCAGTCATCTCCTCCGAACCCGTCAAAGCATTCGCATTTCCCATCCACACATCGTCCCTGGTCTTGACAATCGTTGGGGCATTCCGGTTCGGTGCAGTTGGGACCTCTCCAGCCCGGTTCGCAAAGACAGCTGCAGGTTTCCGCGCTCCAGTTCCCACGGCCGTTACAGTAGGGCTTTGTGGACACCTCACCTGGAGAGTAAGAAAAAGAAGTTTAAAAAGGCAATCAGGGTATTGGCTTGTGTACTCTGATATCAAATGGCACTAAATGATGGAGTTGGACGTTCGGCAAACTGGAATTGCAGGGATAAAAAGTATCCTTTTTCTGTAATACTTCATTCAGACCGTGACACAAAGAAACCAGATCATCTTACTGATTTATGTACGCCACAATAAATCTTTGTTAGACGAGAAGTGTTGGTAAAATTACCCCTTGACACACCTGTTTTGTTTTCTGTAGACATTGGGTTCTAAATGTGCAAACTTGAAACCTCCGACAGATTGTTGGTAAAACGGATTTTAGAGTGGACTGCATTGTCAATAGAAATGGTACTCACTTACTTATGTGTGTTCTTTATATGATTTACAGTAGGGTAAATAAGTACATTGAGAGGGATTCATTATCACCATAGGTAGACTGTCAACTGTGAGCGAAAGAATGTGAAATAATCCAGGATGTTTTTTTGAGAATTTAATTGTATAATAATTAAGGACACTTTTTGAAATAGAAAATACTTATTTGCTCCACTGTATATATGTGCTGATGATTGAAATCTTTGTCTTGAACGACTTATAACACTACTAATGAGACTCTCTAACATTGTTGACACATAAGATAAGATATGCTTTATTTATCTCACAAAGGAGAAATTTACATATATCACTCTTGTACAGTAGATACAATATTTGCCAGTTTAGGTTTTCACTTTGTCCAGACCTAACGCTGTGCTCTGAACTGGACTTGACTCTAGCCCTTAGGCTACCCTCGGGTCAAAATCATTCTCCACAAATTATTCAAAGTAGAAGAAAAATATCCTAAATTAGGGTCTAAATGACCTGGGGTCAAGTTATGAAAAATCCAAATTTGAGTATGAAAAAAAAATATTCAGGGTTTTTAAATTCACTGTGATGGGTCAATTGAACCACAAGGGCTAGTCTTGTGCTCTGAGCCAGACCTGACACTGGCCCAGTCCAGTGTTGCTATCCTAAGTCTGTTTTTGTGGTGATTTACACTGAACTGAACCTCAACTCTTTCAGGGACTCGTCTGCCATTTTACCTGTGACCGGAGCTCCGCAGCAGCCCGTGCCGCTGCCACACTGTTCCCTCAGCGCAGACAGCTCTGACTCCAGCATCTCCAGTCTGCTCAGGATGTCCTTGAGGTCCGGGGGGTTTCCGTCGCAGCCACACGCCTGCTTGGGGATGTTGATTCGGTGGGTGAAAACAATCTGGTTTTCCCCGTCCATTGTGTGTTCCATGTGCTCAGTGTTTTGCATATCCATCGGCCCGCTTTTGTGCTTTGCCTCTGATCCGCCCGGAGTGTCCAGATCGATGGAGCAGAGTGAGGTAGAGGGGACGTTGATGTTGTAGACGTGGTTGAAGACCACCGGTTGGTCTGGGTGAGGTAAGGTGAGGTTCTCTTCAGTCTTCTTGGGCATCAGAGTCTCTCTGCGATGGCGGATGACGTGTTGGACCAGGCCGGCACTTGAAAGTTGCAGTAACAGTGCCGTGGATAGACAAGTCAGGAGTAATAGTTTGGACCCCATGGTGATGGCCTTGTTTTGGTCTTCTTCAGGATAAGAATTAGGTCACACTATCAAATTTGAAGGTTTTCTCTTGATTCCTGCCAAAATAGAGAATAAGACAAAGTATTAGTCACATACATACGGGAGATGATGATATTTGTTAGTATACAAGTTTCCATACAATTTCTTTCTTGCGAGCAGGACCATTGATAACCTTAGCTCAACAAAAAGAGACAACATCACCCCCATCCTCAAACAACTCTACTGACTCCCTGTCCCATACTGCATATGATTTATAAGGTCCACCGCATCACCTACAAGTTCTTCATAACCTGGCACCTCAAATCCATCAGCACTGCCCCTCCAGCCACTTCTGATCCGCTGACTCCAACCTTCTCACTTCCATCAGAACTACTGTAAGTGCCCGAGGAATGAGCCTTCGCTGCAGCTGCCTCACTCTCTGTAACTTACTCACTGTAACTCACTCCCACATCAGGAACTCGGACTCACTTCAGAACCTCAAATCACTGCTAAAAACCCACCTGTTCAAAACTGCCATCCCTTTTTTTACATTCAAGTTTGCATGATTAGAATATGAACATAACATGATTGATGATTGCAAACAAACTCATCTTACATTCTTTGCAAAGTAATTCTTGTAAATACAAAAGAATACATAACATGCTTTTTTAGTACTTTGGAAATCTCAATATTTATATAAAACAATGTAAAAAAGAGACCAGAGATTGCGGTTTTTTGGTCATTCTTTTGACTTTTTTTTGCTCCCACCTATATTAATTTAACATAGTCTGGAATATTATCTGGAACAGCCTTCTCAATGATGTACCGAGGCCTCATCTCTAACACTGTTTGAGTCTAAGCTGAAAACCATTCTTTTTAGCTGTGCATATGACCGAGTTTTATACATTGAGGTTGTATGCACTTTTAATTCTGACATTCACTCTGAAATGTTTCTTTTCATAGCAACCAACTTGATTGATTGACCGATTGATTCATTTGACACCACAGACCTCTAAAAACTTAAAAATGCTCTGTCTACTTGTATGAGACCACACATTCCCACACACAGCAGTGCATCCATGTTTTTGCCCTTCGCATCCCAGGTTGATGCAATGGCACGGTCCCCACGCGCCGCCAACACATCTGCAGTGAAATACAACAGCATCTCACTATAAAAGCAATTAACCTTCTTATGTTGCCCCTGAACAAAAGCAAACCTCTGCTACAGCTGATGCACCTGACCCATTTATCTTTCTCTGTCTCTCATAAGCACCGTTAGCCGTTAGCAGACGATCCCACGCAACTTAGAGATCCTTCGAGGCAAGAAGACAGGCGCTTTTACCGCAGACCAATGGATGGAGAGTCCTTATTTTCTGTGGATTGGGTCGAGACGGGTAAAAAGCAAAGTCAGTAACGCCTGAATCATTTCCTTAGCACGGCCTGCACTATGACCACAATGATAGATTAATGCCGGTCTATGGTTAGGCTTTCAATATGCTTCCAGTAAACCTCTAAGGCTTGCAGAAAGTTCCCTGTAAAAACTTGCCCGTCAGCATTCCAGGCTTTTCTCCCTTCTTTTTTCTCCCCAGCAACCTTCACAACTTCAGTAACATGAGGCTTATGGCTTTCACCGGCGAATGGATGGAGACGTGATTTTAAAAAGGTCATTGGGTGCGAAATGGGCTGAGCTGGTGGCGTCGACAAATATCTTCAAACATTAGGGTTTAAATGCGTTTTGATGGTAGCATTGTGTTACACTGTGATGTGATGGGCTGTAATGTTCAGCCGGGACACACTTCAGAGGAATACTAAGCAAAGCAAGCGGACAATCATCCTTTCAATAGAAGCGTAGAGGTTAGAGTCTTCATTACATCTGTCAGGCTAAACCACTTCTGCTGCCGTGACAGATAATGCTGTTGCACATTATTACTATTGTTAGTGACTTAGAATGATGTATTTATTTGTTTGTTTGGTTTCTGCTTCTGGACACCTGAATGTCTCCTATTGAAGTAAAAAAGTATCTATCAATCATTTTGCCATGTTTTAAACTCTGCTCTTCTAGCACTTGTGGAAAAAAATAAAAAGGATCACAAACACTTAATAAATTATAAGACAATAAAAGTCCATTGATATTTCAAGCACAACACGCTGTCAACATGAATGAGAAACTCCAACCTGAATACAACTTTTTACCCCCCTTGTAAACGTGTGTGGACGGAACACACAGCCATGATTAAAAACAATGAATAATCCACTTTATATTGGCTCTATTTCACACAATGTTTATGGAACAGTATGGAAAGCGCAAAATCACATTTTTGAGTTATTTTTACAAAACAAATTTGGAGTAGTTGGAGCTAATATTAGGAACATCTGGCTCAAATACATCCGCCTGCCTCATCTGTCTTAGAGATCAGTTTTCAAACTCATTACATTATGGCAAGCTGTTTTGTCCTTTTAAAAGGGTTGTCTGCATGTGTAGTGTTTGGAATGTCTCCAGTCAAAGGACGCAGGACGACTATTGTCCCAGACCCTTTAGTTGTTTACTAAAAGAGCAGAATATTAGAATTTACACTTCTACCAAAACTAATGCATTAAAATTTAAGTATTGTACTTTCCATAGGTTTCAGGTGTCAAGAAGCCATGAATGCAAACAATTTCAAATTAAAACAAAAAGCTTGTTTCATTCATCAAATAACATGTTATTTCAGAATCATAGTCCAACCCCGCTGCACCATGCCCAGTAAAACACACTTCTGCTGCTCTTTAGGAGGTTTTAAAGTACTATATAAATCTTACTCCTTATTATTATTACTTTTATTGACATGACTTTGCTCCAAAATCTCCAAATCGTGCATTGAAAGCCTTTTCCGAGCTGTCTTTTCTCTGCACACGGCGTTACATCTGTTAGCAGTAGCTGGACTAATTCCTCCACCACTTTGCTGCTAATTATCCGCTTTCCACTTGTGTCTTTGCCAACGTCTGTCAGCCGGTGAATATAGCATAGCTCATTTTATATAGCTCTCATCCACTTGCACACACAACCATTTGAAGAGCATGTCTGGCTGCTGAGATGGAGCTTATGTAACTGGCCTTTCTACCCCACCTTGTCAAAGATGCTGACAGTAATCATTTCCTACCTAAGATGTGAAAACCAGAGCTCTTGGCGAAGGATTGCTCAAATGGGTTAAGTCCCACCATTGAAATGTCCTCCATAAGCAGACAGATGCACAAGTATGTATGGAGAGGATATATACGGTGTGTGTATGGAGAGGATATATACGGTGTGTGTATGGAGAGGATATATACGGTGTGTGTATGGAGAGGATATATGGACAGGGACAGTGACGGTCTCTTGGTGATTGGAGGCGTTTGGCTGTTTCTCTGTTATTATATATGAAATGCTTTTCAATAATCATTATTACAGTATTTTGCAGCATTGATGGTAATGATATACTATGGCATGATACACATATATCAGGAAAACAACTATATAATTGAATTTGTTCTAAAATGTGAACTAACATGTCATTAGAAGACACTGGGTGAGTTATTCAATCAATCTACGGTATATCTTTTTTAAATTTGGCCCAATTGTGATTGAATACAAACCTGCTAGAAAATAATATCCAAGCTCATGTCATAATATGTAAATAATAAAAAATAATAATGATTGTCACCAACCACTTTTATACTTTTGGCCCAAACCAGTTTTTATATTTCTAAACTTGGCCGCAGACCAAAATTAGTTAGATACCTCTAGGCTCCGGAAGTCACCTTGGAATACAATGTTGTTATTTTTTTTGTATATATATTCAAACCACAGTTACAGCCCTATTCCAGTTTTACTAACATAGATTTGGATCAACTCATTCAGGCATCGTTCTTTTGGTTAAAAGACGAGTTTGTCTAAGTTTGTATCAATTACTACAGAATGGTCTTTTGGGATTTTATGACCATGATACAACATTGTTCTTCATTAAAAACAGAGCTATGAGGATCTTCTGGTATAAACAATCCTCTCCCTGCCCCTTCTGTTGAAATGCTCTGTTTTCAAACTTGAGGGCACATGAGGGCGGAGCAGGTCATCACACAACAGGAAATAGAACTAAGGAAGACACAGGGCCAACAGGTTACAAAAAAACTGTAAAATAAACCTAAACCATGACAGTTTCAGACAAAAGAACTATGCAGTCATCACTCATTCCAAATTATACTACCATTCACTTTAGAATGACTGCAAGAATTAATGGAAAAAAGGTTTTGTTTTGGAATAATGCTTTGATTTAAGATCTGATTTTCCAATAAACCGAAACAAGCTGAAAGAAGAATCCATGCTGTAAATGGACTATATTTCACGTTCATTCACATCTCTGCAGTTCCTCATTATGAAGGCCTCTGCTGTAGTGTGTGTGGGCAGCGGGTCTCTGGGTGATGGGGGGGATATCTTGGCTGTCTCCTGCCCTGTGACGGGGAGCTTAGGTGGGCTGCATGACAGACGAGCCAGGGTGCATTGGACTGGAGCTGTCCACCCCCTGTGCCGCAGGGACAGGTGGGACAGGGTCGGTACCTACTGCGGAGTCAGAACAAGTGCAAATGTTCTATATTCGGACTGTTCACCGGGTTCAGGCAAAAGGATGTTGGGGGATTTGAAGGACCCAATAAAAAGACTGTGTCCGAATGTCCCTCTTATTCCCTGACTCTCACTCACGAGTCCCACGCTCATTAGTGCTCGCCTTTAGATGGAGATTCCGCCAACTTCGTCTCCTTCAATCACTGAGGCTTGTCTCTTTACTTATTATCGTTGTTATTATTAGAACAGCTGCAGTAAATTCAAAACGCTGTAACTTGAGTTCTGACGAGAACCAGGAAGTACAATCACATTTGTCCAG